ACGCATGGGGCACTAATTGCGGTGGGTGACAACGCGAAAGCCAACGGTTCCGCAATGCCGGGAATTGTGGGGACGGCATTCAAACCCTCCTGGGATTCGTGTGCAAAGACACGCAATTAATCCGCCCCTCGGTGCAATTCGTCACCATAATCCTCATCGCTCTCTTTGCCGTCATTCGTATTGTCACACTCAGAGCCGTTGAGGGAAGATGCTGCCATGATGATTGTGACGTCACACTGAATGAAACAACGCAATGACTCGAGGGGTGCCAAGTGCAGGCATCCCGTCAGGCAGCGACACGGCGCAATCTTAGCAATGTACGAAGCAAAGGCAACGAAACAGCTTTCATCCGCCATCGTAATCGCGTCCAGCAGGTTCGCCCTCTTGTTCCTCGGCGCCTCGTCCCTCTCCAAGACACCAGCTGCCGCTGCCGTAGAACACGCTCCTGCCGCACTCACCCCCACAGAGAGACAAGGAAGAGTGTGTGGAATTGTGTGCCGAGAACACAGCGACTGTCATCGCCAGAGAAGGCCATCGTGCAGCCGCGTCATCATTTCAGCACGGAACGTCAGCCAACGTCCCTCGTTACCAAGAACATTCCTGCGGAGCATTTTGCAACTACTTATGTGTGTGGGTGTCTGCTGGAGAAGCTGAAAAAAGAAGAATCACAGGGAGGCACATCAGGACGGCAAGAGGCACAGCTGGATGGCAGCGGTGCATGCGGTGCGGCCCAAACCTCAACAATCACGCACGGTGGCAGCACACCCATCCACAAAAAAAAAAAGAAAACAACACGGCGGCAGGGTGTGGCTGTGTGTGTGTGTGTGGCGCTGCGGGTGTCTGCCCGCCCTGGCCGCAAAGAAAACAAAACAAGAGGGAAAGAAATGTGTGCTCCGCCCCACAGGCCCTCGTCGCACGCCCACACGTCACGGCTCCCTCAGCGCGCCGTTCGTCGCGGCCCCTCCTCATGCGTGCAGCAGGCGAGGCGCACAGGGCCGTCGTCATGAGCGTGTCGGTGGGTGTGCGAGTGGAGCAGTTGGGCGGGAAACACACGGCACCCCTCACAGGAAGAGTGCAGAAGAAACAATTAAAAGAGGGAAGAGTAGAAAAGAAATGAAACATCCACAGTGATTGCCCCCAAAAGCAAAAAAAAAAAAAGATCAAAAGAGGGATTAGAGGTTTGAAACGCAAACAAAAAAAAAGAAAAGCAAAAAATGAAAAAAATTAAAACAAAAAGAAGGTAAAAAACGCACACACAAAAAAGAAAACAAGCGTGGGAAGACCAGCGCACACATTCTCATTGCTCCCGTAAAGCAAAACACACACACAGGGAGAGAGAGAGAGAGGTCGCCCACTCAATGCAATGGAAACAAAAACAGTTACGGTGCTCCGCCCATGCAGCCAGGCAGGACGGCAGCGGTGCGTGTGGTGCAGAAGAGAGCACCAACGGGCATGCATGGGTGTGCATGCATATATACAATGGGCACATTATGTGTGTGCCTCGTGGGGTGAGGTGAGGGCGAGAGTCCATGCAAGGGGACACACACAGAGAGAGAAGGACGAGTGTGTGTGCGGGCGGTGCACGGCTCTCTCTCCCTCACTCTCACGCGGCCACCACCGCAGCCGCACATGCTACAAGAAGAAGCAAAAGAGGGGAGGAGGTGTGGGAGACCGCGGTGCTGCCGTCACTGTCGCCAACCTTTTCATTATCTCCAGTTTGGCGTTTTTCTGTCGCTGCAGCATCCGGAGTTCGAGCATCCTCGGTTGTCTTCGTCCCTGTGGAGTGTTCCTCCTCAAAACGGGAAGGTTCTTCGCTTGTAGATGGTTCAGCTTCTTGTTCTTGAATGCCAGTTGATGTACTCTGCACCGCACCTTCCGTAGAGGCAGGATATTCTTTATTTTCCTTTTGTAGTTCGGGTAGGTTCGTGGATGTATCCGTGCTTTGGCTTTCATTCGTCTTTTGTTCCGGAGTTAACATTTCATTTTTAGTTTTGTGCTCCGGCGGTACTGTGTTTGGCACCGTCGTTTGGACCGGTTCACTGCTTTCTGATTCTTTACCTGGACCCCTTAATGAGTCTCCTTTCCCGAGGGCCCTTGAATCCGCGTTTCCTTTATTTTCTACTCCCAATGAGGGCTGACCTGCTCCACCCGCATTGTTCTCGCCAACACCTTCACCCTCTTCTGAAGCAGGAGTGTGTGGCTGCGGCTGCAGTTGCGTTTGTGACTGCGGTTGCTGTGGTACATGTACTTGCGATTTTGGCGGTTGCCTTACTTCCTGTTCTTTATTTTGTAATTGCGTCTTTGTTTTTTCTTTTCCTGCAGCATCTTCCACGGTTTCTTCCAAATGCTCTGAAGGGCTTTCATCTTCTTGGCCATCACCGTCTCCCTTACCATCATTATCTTCATCATCATCGTCCTCTTCATATGAAGGCGTGGGAGGTGCGGGTGGTGCTTCCTTTTTAACAACTGGCGCCCCATCTTTTAATTCTTGTGATCCTTGTGGAGACGTTCCAAGTTCTTGTGATTGCACCAGCGGTTCACTCCCACTCCCAGCACCATCAGCAGGCGCTTTCACCACCTCAGTGCATTCGCCTCCGCCGGCACCGCACCACAGCACGCAGAGGGCACACACCAGCAGCACACGGCCAGTCATCATCATCGCCATCACTCCTGTCACTTGCGTGTAGCCTTCAGCACAAACTAACTCCCCGTCAACGGAGAGTGAAAGCAAAAAAAAACACCGGCACCGCACAAGGACAGTGACAAACACCAGCAGCTTGCACACAGCATGAGGCAGATGAAATCAGTACGATTACAAAACTCGCGCACCGCCCTGCAAGGCAGAAATTCAAAAAATAAAACAGAGTTAAGAGTCCGTCAGGATACCCGGAGAAAATAAAAAAAATTCATTCGACAGAACTTTAATTTCATATGCCAAGCAGCACAAGACAACCGTGTGTGTCTGTATACATAACGCCTTCACCAAGAAGAGAAATGAAATTAAAAAAAAGACTGTACTCTTCCACCAGCACACAAAACACTCTTCACACTTCATTGCGGCATCCGGCCTGTTCCTCCAATCCTCCTTTCGTGCAGTCCGTGGGACGCACAGCAATGAGGCCGGCACCGCGTGAGGGCAACAAAAACAAAACAAGTAGAGGGAGAAACACGTCACACATTACAGTGTGCAGCAACCGACCATTGAATAAAGGAACAGCAAGGATACGTATTATTCCAGGAAAACAACAAAACAAACAGCAAAATGTAAATAATAAAAGAAAACACGCATGCAACGCAGCACATTTTCTCCGTGAGGAGTCGCAATTCCACACTCTTCGGCTCAGAAGTCCGCCACAACTCCCCACAATCCCAAAAGAAGCAGCAACGCCCAATACACGCACACACGCACAGTGCCGTCAACAGTTAACTCACGCAGTGTCAATTTCGCGTCGTTGCGCAGGGCAAAGCAGTCGTCGGGACTCACACCGCTCCCGGAATACTGCGCGGTGAATTCTCGTAATTGGGGTTTTCGTGTCCAGAGGCATTGCGTTGACCCAATCCGTCCGCATCACCCTCAGCAACAAATCCACTGCCTGCAACGCCATTTTCTAAAACGATAGATTTGTGTCCAGTGGCGTTGCGCTCACTCACCTCGTCCGTGTTATCCGCAGCAACGTGTTCCCTGCCGCCATAAGTGACAGACATGATCCCGGATGCATTCAGCGCCACTAATATTCTCGGACCGTTGGCGAAGGAAGGCCTCTTCTTGGATGCATTCGGGACCATCACTTCGTTCGGATTGCTGGCAAACTCAGGCCTCGTCTCGGACGTGTTGGTCGCCGTGTTGGATGCGGGACTCCGATCGACGGTGTTGGGTCCGTCAGCCGCCGCAGACTGTCGCCAATCCTCGTGTTGACGTGACGGCTCAGCATTAACTTGCGGCGCAGTTGCTACATGTGTGCACCGCATTGGCCACATGGCACACAGCACCCAGCTCACCATTCCTGCTAAGCAGCTGCACACCAAGGCCACTGAAAATATAATTCTCATGCTGAGCCTCAGCACTGGCAGCAGAACACTTCTTCCACACACACACACACACATGCACGCGATAGCTCAGGCTGCCGTCACTCGGAGCACACGACACATCCACCGGCACAACCACCGCATCCGCATCACCAGATACATGTCCAGGACTCCCAGCAGCCGTCACGTACACGGACGAGAGCGCAAGGAACAACACGGCGCCGCACCGTCATCATCGCAGTCATTGTCACGCGTAGTGGAGTCGCTGGAGCCAGTCAACTGATCGGTGAGACAGAAGAAAAAGAATGGAACAGGAGGGAGAGGGACGGAGCACCGCGGATACAGCGAGAGAGAGCAGACAACATGAGGAGAGGGCAGCAGGCCCAGCCGCACAGTTCACACACCACGAGACGGCATCCACGCAAGGAAGGCACACAACGCCAGCAGCCACCCACCATGCAGCAGGAGAAGATATCCACCACCGTCTCCACCCAGCTCATTCCCACAGCCAACGGGAAATGGCCAAAAACCCGCGGCCACCACACAACGCACACGGAGCGAGCACCCACCACACCAGCCACACGACAGTGGACCCTCATCCATCCACGACGCGGCACCAAACTTTCCAGCCATCCCGCCCTCAATGGGACACGGAGCCCAACTCAACGCAGTCACACGCGGTGCTCCACACCCGCAGGAAAGAAGACTCGGGCTGCGCACTCCCTCTCCTCCCTTCTCCTCATGGCCACGGAAGAAGACAACAGCCGCCACCCGCAACTGCCAGCATGCACTGCAAAAGAAGCATGCACTGCAAAAGAAGCATTCAAATCCATTGCAATGTGCATCTTGTGGTTGTGTGTGCCTGCAGAAACACAAAGCAAAGAAGTAGAAAAGATAGCAGAGTATGTGGAGAGACGCACAACGATGTACAGCGGAGGTGCATGGCGGAAACAACAAGAAGAAGACCGCTCAGACTCATGATTGCACTGCAGCCCAAGCAGTGGCAATTCACACAAGATTTATTTAAAATAAAAAAGCTTTCCCCCCTTCGTCTTACACAAACCCCATCACACAAAATAATTATAAATAAAAAAGAAATCGTCCATTACTGTTCCACACAAATTTAAAAAAGCAGCCGACTGCCGTGTGGCCACACCAAACCGTCTGCATATGTTTTGCCCGCAAAATAAAATTAAAAGATATTTAAATGTCTTTCAACCGTCTGACCCTCTGTGTGTCCGCACATCGTTTATATTTCATGGGGCCATCTGCGTGTTGCTGCTCCCCTCAGCCCTTTCATCGGCGCGTGAGTGCGGCCCGCAGAGCTCAGTCACTCGTGTGTGTGGGGACTGAGAGAAGCACGCAGACATGACGGGAGTCGCGTCACTCCATCGGGAGAGTGAGCGCAGAAAAAGAAAAAATCATCAGAGGGAAAAGAAATGCTCACGAGGCCGAGACCGAAGGGACTGCCGGCGCGTGAAATGCACACGCAAAGCAAAAAACCTTAAAAACACGGCGGCAGGGTGTGGCTGTGTGTGTGTGGCGCTGCGGGTGTCTGCCCGCCCTGGCCACAAGAAAACAAAACAAGAGGGAAAGAAATGTGTGCTCCGCCCCACAGGCCCTCGTCGCGCGCCCACACGTCACGGCTCCCTCAGCGCGCCGTTCGTCGCGGCCCCTCCTCATGCGTGCAGCAGGCGAGGCGCACAGGGCCGTCGTCATGAGCGTGTCGGTGGGTGTGCGAGTGGAGCAGTTGGGCGGGAAACACACGGCACCCCTCACAGGAAGAGTGCAGAAGAAACAAATAAAAGAGGGAAGAGTAGAAAAAAAAAACCGTCCATAGTGATTGCCCCCAAAAGCAAAAAAGAGAAGAGATGGTGGAGCAAAAGATTAGTAAACAAAAAAAAAAAAAATTTAAAGAAAATAAACCATTAAAAAATGAAAAAAACCCACAACGCCCCGAAGGAAGCAAAAAACAAGCAAAATGAACACAAAAAACAAGCAACAACAAAACAACAACAGAAAAAAAAAAGAAGTAAAAAAAAAAAGTAAAAACACACAAAACTCAATGAGCTGCAACGAATGACTCCAGTGTGCATGCAGCAGCACACAGAAATGCGTCCACGCAAACAGTTGTGAGCGTGTCGTGCATATGAGTGCGTCTGGGATGCGTGCCAAGTGACGGATACAGGGGTCAACAACGTGGAGCTCACAGCAACGCAGCTGAAGCAAATGAAGCAAAACACACAATCATTATTTTCTCTTACTTATTACGCAATAAAACAAAAGAAGCTCAAAACATCCCCGTGGTTGAGTGCTGGCACTTATAGCCCGCATACACTTCTTCAGCCCAGTGTCCCGTAGGTGAGTGCAGCCAGAACAAGCAGCAGCCGGGCATGCAGAAGGGTGTCATGGAAGCAGGCGTCAGTTCCCACACTTTTCTCCAGCGCGTTCGTTGTGGGCGCAGAGGAAAGGGGAGCCGGCATGCTTGCCGCCATATTATTTCCTTCGCTAGAAGCAGTCTCGGTGGTGGTGTTGGCGGCGGTGTCCTCTTCGGCGCCTTCCGCTGCACCCCCGTCCTCGCCGGTCTGGGACAACTGAGTCGGTGGCGCAGCAGCAGTCTCTTCCTGCAGCTCCACTGGAGGGTCATGGGAAAAGTGGTCGCCGCCTTCTGTGGGCTTTGGATCTGGTGGGGATTCGGATGCAGCAGAAGCAGCAGAAGTAGAATGTGCAGCGCCTTGAGGATCACCAGCGGGAGCGGAATCTGGTGCTCGCGAGGCCTCAGAAGGATCCGTCGTGGCCGCAGCGCCAGCAGCAGAGTTAGCACCAGCGCCGCCTGGAGTTGCAGGTGGTGGAGGAGGAGGGACATCCGTGGAATTCTCAACGACAGCAGGAGGAGATTTTGAATCTGGTGTGGAGGCGTCACGAGAAGCCTCCTCTTGTCGAGCCGCCGGAATGCCTGCTTCCGGACGTGTGGCCGGAACACTTTCACCAGCGCCACCCGGAGGAGTTTCAGCCAGTGAACGGGCACCAGCGGAATTCGCAGCGTCAGCAGGAGATTCAGAATCTGGTGTGGAGGTGTCACGAGAATCCTTGTCGTCTGGAGGGCTCCGAGGAACTTCCGGAGGTTTGGCTGCACCAATTGCAGCGGTGACCGCCTTCTCCACGTTACGCTCCCACCAACTCTTCACCGCGCTTGGAGTAAACGTGGAGACGTTGATCGTGAAGACGCCATCCTTCGCAACTCCTTTGGTGCGCCTCTCAACATCCTCGGGCTCACAGTTTCCTACGCCCATGCCGCAAATCACACTTCCCAAACCGCCAGCTTCAGCCGTGCAGTCATACCACAGTGACTTCCCACGGAGTTGCCAGCGCCCAACTTTTTCACCGTCACCCGCACACACTGCATTCACCGGTAGCACCTCCTCATCCTCCTCCTCCTCCTCCACGGCAAACACGCACGAGCAGCAGCACAGCAGTGTAAGCGCCAACACGACACAAAACACACGGTGCATCATCGTCGAAACTATCGTTGTTGAATAACGTGGATTCGATCTGCAGGAGCATGAGAAAGGAAGTAGAGAGAGACAGCAGCTACACCACGCACAGCCACCGCATGGTAATAAATGGCAGCAGCCACAAGAAGCGCACACCAAAAAGGACAAATGGAATCATCACAAACGCAGAACTCGCACACCGACCCCCAAACCAAAACTTCAAAGTCAAAGAAAATACAAAACAAGAAAAAAAGGAAAATGATGGGAGTCCAACAAAACTCCCAAAAATTAAAAAAAAATCAATCGGGCAGCACTCTTATTTCTTATGCTAAGCAGCACAAGACAACCGTATGTGTCTGTGTACATAATGCCTTCACCAAGAAAAGAAATCAAATAAAAAAGATCGTCCTGCTCCACCAGCCCACACAACGCTTTTCACACTTCATTGCGGCATCCGGCCTGTTCCTCCAATCCTCCTTTCGTGCAGTCCGTGGGACGCACAGCAATGAGGCCGGCACCGCGTGAGGGCAACAAAAACAAAACAAGTAGAGGGAGAAACACGTCACACATTACAGTGTGCAGCAACCGACCATTGAATAAAGGAACAGCAAGGATACGTATTATTCCAGGAAAACAACAAAACAAACAGCAAAATGTAAATAATAAAAGAAAACACGCATGCAACGCGGCACATTTTCTCCGTGAGGAGTCGCAATTCCACACTCTTCGGCTCAGAAGTCCGCCACAACTCCACACAATCCCAAAAGAAGCAGCAACGCCCAATACACGCACACACGCACAGTGCCGTCAACAGTTAACTCACGCAGTGTCAATTTCGCGTCGTTGAGCAGGGCAAAGCAGTCGTCGGGACTCACACCGCTCCCGGAATACTGCGCGGTGAATTCTCGTAATTGGGGTTTGTTATCGTGTCCAGAGACATTGCGTTGAGTCAATCCGTCCGCATCACCCTCAGCAACAAATCCACTGCCTGCAACGCCATTTTCTAAAACGATAGATTTGTGTCCAGTGGCGTTGCGCTCACTCACCTCGTCCGTGTTATCCGCAGCAACGTGTTCCCTGCCGCCACAAGTGACAGACATGATCTCGGATGCATTCGACGCCACTAATATTCTCGGACCGTTGGCAAAGGAAGGCCTCTTCTTGGACGTATTCGGGACCATCATTTCGTTCGGATTGCTGGCAAACTCAGGCCTCGTCTCGGACGTGTTGGTCGCCGTGTTGGATGCGGGACTCCGATCGACGGTGTTGGGTGCGTCAGCCGCCGCAGACTGTCGCCAATCCTCGAGTTGACGTGACGGCTCAGCATTAACTTGCGGCGCAGTTGTCCCACCAGATTCTGTGTCATCCTTCCCTTCACGGGGTGGCGGCAACTGACAGATGCCCGTCTGGTCAGCATCGCTGCTCCGTGCAGGCGGACGGATGGTTCCATCGAGAGAAAATTGACGCCACCACAATTCATAAGGGCCGGCGTATTTATATGCCGTCACGTCCATCGTGAAGGCAACGGTGGCCCCTTCCTCTTCCGTTGCACAGCTGGCAGCACAGTTGCTACATGTGTGCACCGCATTGGCCACAAGGCACACAGCACCCAGCTCACCATTCCTGCCATGCATGCGCACACCAAAGCCACTGAAAGTATAATTCTCACACTCAGCCTCAGCACCGGCAGCAGAACACTTCTTTTCTGCTCCTCCAGCACAAACACATAAGTATTTGCACAGTGCTCTGCAGTAATGCCTTGGCGACAGCGGGGCGTGGGCTTGCGTCCCGTGCTGAAATGGCAACACGGCTGCACGATGCCCGCCGTGTGTGAAGGTGTTGCCTGCTCTTGTGGCCATTCTCTCCTCTGTTTTTGCACTTCCGGTTGTGGGCGTTGCTCGTTGTGTGCTGACGACTGACGGACGGTGCCACGATGGTCTCCTCTGACGATGACAGTCGCTGTGCTCTCGGCACACATCCACACACTATTTGTTGTCTCTCTGTGGGAGTGATTGTGGCAGGGCATTGCTGCGAGCGTAATGGGGACCACGACGGCGTCACCCCTCGAGAAGGTCCCACGATCTGTCGGTTGTGGAGTGGCGAGGCGGTTTGCCTGCAGCCCGACTGACAGAACCGCACAGTCGTTTCAGTGCGGTCACTCCGTCGGCATCATCCGCTGCGGTGGTGTCCGCAAGAGCCGCAGCCCCGATGAGGATGGCCTCGTAGTTGTCTGGCAGCTCAGAACTTCAGGCCCTTTGCCCTTCAGGATTGCTCTTGCTGCTCGACTGGCGCAGCACCATCTTGGCATGGTTCTTCTGCAGGAGTGCAGGCACGAGAGTGCCCCAGCGACGAGGCTCATTGGCTGCGGTGACTTCCACCAGAAGTGCGGTGGGCGTGCCGGTGGCGTGGCCTTCTTGGTGCGCCACACCTTGCCGTGCGAGCGCTTGTCGCTCGTGGCACCAACTGCGTGGAGACCACCGCCTTCCGCGTGCGCCTACAGGCCTGCTCCAGCATGTACGTGGTGACCCTCTGCAGCCTTCCCACGGCAATTGCTCACGCTGCTCACTTTGCGAGCAACATTCGTCGCTTAGGCCCCGCAGCGGTTACTTGCGACCTGAATTCACACCATGAGCTGCGGGACGGTTGCTCACCATCAACGACGGCAGGAGAAGACCTCGCCGCCACCCCAAGCGGCATGGAAGCTGAGCTTTCCGACGACCCGGCACAGGCAACGTGGAACAGCGGCTGCAGCGTCTCGTTTCCCGACGTGACTGCGCAACGCGTACTGCGTGTCTCCCACTAAACGTCCACCCGTTTACATGGACTCGGACCACCATCTGCCATCCCACACTGCAGGGACGGAGGACGGCATCCCGCGACAGGCAGGCATGCTGCCACGACGGAATCATGTCGCCATTTCCCTGCGTGAAGCTGACTGTGATGCTTCCACCTCGGGGTGTGCAACGTCTCTGGCCACTGTGACCACATGGTTTGAGATGCACCGAGGCACCGTACGAGCGGCAGCCATGACAGTCCCACAGGAACCTGGACGGACGGAATGGGGCAGGCCGAGTGTGTTGCAGCGGCAGCCTGCCCCGAGCTGAAATGCTCCACAAACGGGAGGACCGCAATCATGCCCTCCGCCGTGGCTTCTCCATGCTGTCAGAGGTACGTGCGAAACAGCTTGGTGCCCTCTCGAGCCCAGGCCTGTGATGCTCCAAGGCATGGCGGCACCACGTCCCTGCCCTCTGGGATCGGCTGTGCTGCGGTGCTGTTGGGACCGCGTCTGTGCTCCGCCTCCACCGGAACCTCTTCCCGACGTGAGCACCGCCACTCCTTGCCGACCAACAAGCGGCTGATGGGCGTCCTCCTGCCCACTCTTCGGCAGACCGGCACGCGCCCTGCAGATCACAAGCAACCCTTTATGTCGGTGGTGCTGCCCCACTCACACTGAAGAGGCAGGACCGCCCCGACCTCCTCCGGAACCTCCACCTGGCGTGTCCACGGCATCTCCTCGTAGAACGACGAGCAGCGGATCAACGTCGCCCTGCCCAAGCTGCAGCAGCGTCTTCTCGTCCGTCCACAATATGAAGGCACACGCCCGACGCACTAATCCTGGCACTCCAATCGTTGCAGAAGGCCTCACATGTGGATTCTGCGACAGCTCCACGGTCTTCCCAACAAGTGCCTCACGCGCAGGTCACTACCGAAAATGTCAAGCGTATCAACGAGCAAAAAACGGACAACGCACCTCTGCAAGCTCCAATGACAGCCGTAGCCCTTCAGCCACACCTCTGCTGCAACCCCCACCAGCCGCTGAGCCCCCGACAATCCACGGAAGGCCCTGCCGCACATGCTGTGGGAATGCCGCCGTCCTCGAAAACTGAGCATCCGACTATTTGGGAACACACCCTCTCGCACGACAGTATCGTTCAAGAAGGAAAAACTGGCCGCATCGCTACGGACAGCCCGCAGGCCATTAACGAACAGTGGCAGCAAAGTATAACGAAACAAATATTTCCCTTTTCTCAGCATAGAAAAACGTCACCTTCACACTCGCAATTGTCACCAATGAATTCATTGCGCAATACCGCTCTGAGCTGCAATACTTACTGGTACCATCCAGGTCCCTTGTCGACACATTGATGCGGGTGGGCGCCCATCCATTCCTCCCAATGACGGTGCATGTCTGCGACGCTCCCTCATATCCAAAAGGCACGTCCCTCACCACAGCCGGGATCGACTTCGCCCTGTGGGCACGCATCGCTTTGTCAGAGGAGCAGGAGTACGTCAGGCTGGCAGCAAAGCACACGCCAGCACAACACATCACAAACATCACAACCAGAAGCACCAGCAGCACTGGAGGCCGTGGGGTAACGTGGATCAACTGAAACATGCTGTACGTAAAAGAAAACACTTCATGGCTTGACAAGAATAAGAAACACTGACAATATCTCAAAAGAAAAAAAAAATAAGATAAAAAGAGAATTTAGGCGTCCGCAGTCAAAGCAAGCCACCAATCTAAAAACAAGGGTAATGGGTACACTCAACCACAACACAAGCAAAACAATAAAAAAAAAGAGTGGGACGACCAGCGCACACATTCTCATTGCTCCCGTAAAGCAAAACACACACACACAGGGAGAGAGAGAGAGAGAGAGAGAGAGGTCGCCCAGTTAATGCAATAAAAAAAAACAGTTACGGTGCTGCGCCCATGCAGCCAGGCAGGACGGCAGCGGTGCGTGTCGTGCAAAAGAGAGCACCAACGGGCATGCATGGGTGTGCATGCAATATATACAATGGGCACATTATGTGTGTGCCTCGTGGGGTGAGGTGAGGGCGAGAGTCCATGCAAGGGGACACACACACACAGAGAGAGAGAAGGACGAGTGTGTGTGCGGGCGGTGCACGGCTCTCTCTCACTCACTCTCACGCGGCCACCACCGCAGCAGCAGCCGCACACGCAACAAGAAGAAGAAAAAGAGGAGAGGTGGTGTGGGAGACCGCCGTGCTGCTGTCACTGTCGGCAGTTAGAGTCGTATCATTTGCAATAGCTGTGGTTTTTATTGGTGTTTCTTTTTTATTGTCATCTTTATTTCCATCATCTTGTGCTGCTTCTGGTACTGCATCAACACGTGCTGTATTTGTATTGGAAATCTCCTCTTCAGTAGCCTTGTCAGGGCCATTACTGGCGCCAACACTTTTTGCTGATGAGCGTGATGTTGGAGTTGATTCGGCATGGCTGTCAGATGTTCCATCCCGTTGTTTGTTTGTGGTGAGAACACTGTCTTCTTTTCTTGACTCATTCCCTGACTCCAGGCCGCTTTGGGTTTTCTGTACCTGTTGCACTGAAACGACATCTGCAGAGCCGAGGTCTTCATTTTTTACTTGTGGCGTTGCTGCTGGTGCTCTTTCCTTCTCGTTGCCATCCTCTCGTTCACGTTGTTGTTTTTCGTCTGTCACCGCGGCACGAGATGCGGAAACATCGTTGGAATTCTCCGCATTGCCCTCGTCAGCGTCATTGGTGAGAGCATTATCGTCATCCGCCGCAGAAGATGATGAAGTTGTTTCCCCCTGAACCTCAGTTGTCGCATTTTGTGTGGCATCTGTTGTTGGTATGTTGCCCTGTTTCAGAAGAACGTCGGCTGGCTTCGTGCTTTCTGTGTCCTCCTTTGCTGGTAACGATGCGGTGTGAAATGATTCCCTCGATGATGGAGCTGCTGGAGCGGTTTCCTTAACTGGTGTTTCTGGCAGTAGATCCTCTAATCGTCCTCCTTCTCCTGGCACAGTTCCTGCACTTCCTGACGGTTTGGAGTGTGGCACTGGGACTGGTTGTGGTGGTGTTGCTGCTTGTTTTTCTTTGCCAGGTGTATTTTTTTGTTGGTCGTCTCCTCCTGTTCCGCTGGCTTCAGACAATCGAGAAACTTCAGAGGACAACTCAGAGGAATCCCCTCCCGGAATGCCAGCAGCTCGACCATCACGTGAAAGAAGCAATAAACCAACCGCTTCCGGCTGAATCTCCGGCACATTCATCGTCTGGTATTTCGTTAGATCTGAATCAACTAATACTTTTTTCTCGAGCTCACTGTTGTTTTCATCGCGAATTAATTCGCCTTCAACCTCTGACTCGTTCTGTTTGGTGACGGGCAATTCTTCAGGCTGCAGTTGTTCTGATCCCAATCCGGTTCCTCTTCCTGCACCTCCTTCTGACAATTTCTCTGGATCCCCCAATGATAATTCCTGTAAAGAGCCTTGCGTTTTCTGGCCCGGGAGTGGTGGAGGAGCTCCAACGGAAATAACTTCGGGAGGGCCATCTTCAGGATTCTCTGCGACCAGAGCATACCGCTGAGGCCTCCAACGACGACGGCCATCCACAACGGCATGCAAACTCTCCATTCCCTCACGCAGGCATTCCTCAACGGCGGATACATTCGCACGGCCTCCCGTCCTCCTGCTGACCTCCTCCGCGCATTCCCTCCGCAGCTGAGCGCGCCACTCCACAACCAAATACTCATCCACACCGGGCGCCACATCAATTCCAGGTTCCTCGGTCTCAGCAACTCCATCAATACCGCACCACAGCACGCAGAGGGCACACACCAGCAGCACACGGCCAGTCATCATCATCGCCATCGCTCCTGTCAGTTGCGTGTAGCCTTCAGCACAAACTAACGCCCCGTCAACGCAGAGTGAAAGCAAAAAGAAAAGACACGGCACAGTAAAAAACACCAGCAGCACGCATTTCATGAGAAACATTAAACCAATAAAAGTTAGAAAACGCACAGCGCCCCGTAATAATTTAACAACAAGAAAAACACAAAAAGCAATTAAAAAAAAACCAAAGTAAAAAATCAGCAGCAAGAAAAAAAGTAAGAATTAAAAACACGCAGAAAAAAAATTTCACCCGAATGGCCCCAGTGCGCATACACCAGCACAAACATGCATCTACGCAAACAGTTGTATGCGTGCCATGCATATGAGTGTGTCAGGGATGCGTTCAACGTGACGGATGTGTAGAAAAACGCGGAGCACACAGCAGGGCAGCGGAAGCAAATGAAGTAAAACACAATCATTATTTTCTCTTATTTATTTACATCGGACCACAGTGGACGCGCACAAATCCCCGTGGTTGAGTGCTGACACGCAAACGGACGGGCAGCAGCACTCAATTCTTCAGCCCAGAGTGGTGTACGCCAGCGCGGATGCGGCGAGCAGCAGCGTGGCACACACCCACGCAGAGCTGCTGAGGCTGCCGTCGATTTCGCGAAGATGTGACGGCGCGCGGGTGGTCGTCGTGGTTGGCGCCTTTGTGGTCGTCGTGGTCGTAGTTGGTGCGGCGGCCTTCTTTTGTTCATTTGCCGTAACGGTATTCGTATGTTCTGTCTGTTCATTAGACTTCCCACCATCTTGACCCTGTGTATTATTGGAAGTATTTTGTGACTGTGGCGTTTTGGTTATTGCACCCGTTGTATGTGACTGTTCCGGCCCTCTGCATTCTTCTTTATTCTCTGGTGGAGAAGGAGTTCTACTTGGCGGATCCGTTACCTGCTTTGGCTCGTCAACCTTTGGAACGTTTTCTTTTTCAGTTTTATCTTCACCAGTTGTTGTCGCGTACACGGACGGGCAGCAGCACAGACCAAGCACCAACAGGGCGCACAGCAGACGGCACGTCATCATCGTGAGTGTGGTCGTTCAGTGGTGTGGAGCTGATCTGCACAGTGAGGGACATGGAGAGCAACAGGGGAGACGAGAGGTGCGGCAGACACACACAGAGGGCACACCACATGAGGAGAGGGCAGCAGCCAGGCATGCACCGTACACCGCACACCACTCACGACACACACTCCATTCCACGGCAGCAGGCACACACACACACAGCCCTGCCACAACACCAACACACAGATGGAAGAGGGAGAAGCAAACAGGAGCGGCACACAAGGCTCCACCGCATGCACATACGGCGAGAGCGGTCCGTCGTGTCGGCACCCCTCACGGAGGGTACGCACACACACAAGAGGAGGTGCAGCGCACACAGCAACACAACAGCAAAGTAACAATGGAAAAAAAGAGATCCCCGCACACCACGTGGATTGTTGGTCCACGGGAAGTGCAGCCAATATTCATCACAAAAACAATTCATTTTTCTTTGGCCTTCGTTCATATTCAGCGCACACCACTTCATACAGGCCCAGCAACCATCGCAGCAGCAGCAGCACACTCAAAAATAAGTGCAGTGGATGGAATAAAGCAAGCAACCATTTATTTGCGTTTCTGTTTGGATGTTGGCAGATGCCTGCATGCGTTGTTTTGTTTTTGCAGAGGGCAAACCCCCATGCCTGGATCGTGTGTTGGGGATTTCTGCAGGGTGCACAATTATTTATTTATTTTCCTCTTGTGAATGTTTCTTGTGTTGGTGCAGCCAATAATTCGGTTTGTGTTGTTCCTGCCTTTCGCTGGTAAAGTGCTGCAATAGATGTTTGTTTTTCCTTTCGTTGCTGTGGCACCCGATTCCTCGCCGTTTATTGCGGTGGAAATGAAAATATGTGAGTGGACTCCCACACACCAGAACGCACCTTCGCTCCTATTTATTGGTGCATGGAAGGGCATGTGTGTTTGGTGGCGTCTCGGCCATATATTTTGTGGGTGTACATTCCCCTGCAGGCTGAGGGCGGGATGACGCTCTGTCGCGGTGCACTTCCCTCGCATGCCGCCCACTGTGATTCATCATGCATCACCCCCTCACACATTCCGTGGTGCCACACCGCTGATATTATTGCAGCCGCTGTGATTCCGCGTACTTCACGCATTTGATTGTGCCACAATACATCCGCTCGTGTGGCTGCCGCATCCAAACAGCGGTGCCCAACACCGTGAGCGGCAATCCACATCCCTGCATGTCCCAACGCAGTGGTGTTTGACTGTCAGCCAGGCGACACACAACAGGAGAGTCTTGTGCTGGCAGCACAACACACGGAGCTGCAGTGAATGACTCGGGCGGGGACGCATCTATTTGTCGCAAAGCAGTGAAAAGGAGTCGGGCAAAATAATGCCGGCTGCACTCACGACACCACATCCACAGCCAAAGCATGCGATGTGATGTGTTTCACTGGTGATGTGAAATGCCTGCAGACGACGCCACTAGTGGAGGCATGCCACCCATGATCAGCGGACAGACAATAATCGGCATGGGAGGACACAAAAGGCAGCAACGACGCCAGCAGCAGGAGCAGCTCTCTCTCTCTCTCTCTCTCTCTGTGTTTCCTCCGAGAAGTAAATATTCCACCAGCCACAGCTGACTGTGCCATCGTGACACTCCATGCACGTCGTGGCTGCGTCAACACATCCTGTTCCCTGCGGCGCCTCAAAAGATGCCTCACTCCGTCCACTAAGTGCATCGGTGTGGGCCGTGCCTCGGCTGTTCGTGAGGACCACAACGATGTGAGGGTCACCGAGTCGCAGCATGTTTGTTGTGACGCTGTTGCATGGCACCTGCACACACACACACACGCAGCGCCTGCATCCCTCCCTTTTGTGTCCGCCCTCTGCCGGAGTGGCCACACACACGGGCAGCAGCAAAATCACTTCACCCTCGACGATCCAAAACCAACACCGACATCCCTCGCGACGCAAATATCTCAGTTGCCAGCACGGGCTTCCTGCCGCTCTGCCATCGACGCTGAAACACGGCACAGTGCACGCACCTATTTTCCTCGTGTGCAGTCATCCGTTTGCTTCACACATTCTTCGGTGGGCTGACGTCCACAAAAGCACACCACAAAAGGCCACTGTGATCGCACACGCTCTTGCGATGAGCGTCGGTGCGTGCATGGATCCGCTGCTCACACGTGCTGGCAGGCAGCCTGCAGTCGGTGCCCTCGTGCCAGTTCATCGGCTCCAGCACGGAAAAGAGAAAACGGCCTATTCCCGATGCACTTATTCCCACCAGCAGCACCAACACGCTGGTCGCCAGCCGTCATTCCTCAGCACATCCAGGAATGCCGAAAAGTGACGTGGAGCTGTCAGCCAGCAATGCCACAATCCCCGCACACATGTCGGCTCCACCAGAGAAGACACACAAATCACAAACAACACCCTTCACATGTCATCCGAACATCATTCCGACACACCGCGACACGCCAAACAGAAGTATTCGTCACTCCAATGCACCTCCCCATACAATCACATAGTCCATGCACCACGCACGGCAGCAGCACACACGCGGTCAAACAAATGTTCCTCGGATCAGTGTTATCCACGTGCTGCGGTGGGAAGTAAACAAAAGAGACGAGCGGCCAAACCCCAAAAGAGTGCCACGACTGGCCGCAAGTCAGCGGAACGCAGCCACTCAAATGAATTCAGTCCTCATGCCCTCAACCTCCCACCTTCTCCCACAAAAGCTGCAAAAGATGGAAAACAAACGCACCGTCCAATAAATTCTTTGTGCAACACCAAAAGAAGCCGCAGTGCCTTATGCTGTCCTCACAGTCCGTTGATGACGCCTGGATGCGGATGGGCACCCATCGGTTCTCACAAACGACGCCGCACACCCGCGACGCATCCTGCGCTCTGAGACACGCGTCCCTCACTATCACCAGAGACGCCCACGCGGCGTCGGTACGCAACAAATCGTCAAGGAACGAAGGATACGTCAGGCTGACAGCAAGACATCCGCCGACAAATCACATCGCAGAGATCATCAACAGCAACACCAGCAGCGATGCAGGCAGCAGTGTAACGAGAATCAAATGACGCATGGCGTATGTCAAATAAATAAAAAACAAAACTTGGTGGCGTGACAAGGAAAAAAGAGACTGGCACTCTCTCATCAAGAAAGGAACAGTATAATAACACACAAGGAAAATTTTAAGAATCCGCAGTCAAAGCAATCCACCAATTAAAAAAAAAAATAATGGGTGCACTCAACCACAACACAAGTAAAACAATAAAAAAAGCCGAAGCGTGGGACGACCAGCGCACATACTCTCATTGCTCCCATGAAGCAAAACACACACACAGGGAGAAAGAGAGAGAGAGAGGTCGCCCACTCAATGCAATAAAAACAAAAAACAGTTACGGTGCTCCGCCCATGCAGCCAGGCAGGACGGCAGCGGTGCGTGTGGTGCAAAAGAGAGCACCAACGGGCCTGCATGGGTGTGCATGCATATATACAATGGGCACATTATGTGTGTGCTTCGTGGGGTGAAGTGAGGACGAGAGTCCATGCAAGGGGACACACACAGAGAGAGAAGGACGAGTGTGTGTGCGGGCGGTGCATGGCTCTCTCTCACTCACTCTCACGCGGCCACCACCGCAGCAGCAGCCGCACACGCAACAAGAAGGAGAAGCAAAAGAGGGGAGGTGGTGTGGGAGACCGCGGTGCTGCCGTCACTGTCGTCAGGCGTCGCCGTACCATTTATTCGAGCGGCGGTGATTGTTTTTGGCGTTTGTGGTGCTTCCTCACTGAGAGTTGGAACAACGTTGGTATTGCCAGTTTCAAGGCTGTCGTGTTGTCCTTCAGAGCTTTGAGCATCATTCTCCTCTGCTTTATTCTGGACATGATCACCGCTGCCACTTGTAGAGGTAGATGAGGTTGTTGTTTTTTCTGCTGGACTGCCGGCTGCTGCATTCTTCGTCGAATCCTCTGTGTCTGTGTCATGTCTGTGCTGCCCTTGTGTAGCATCCCCTGAAGGCGGTTCCGGTGCTTCGAATTCCATTTTGGGTCCTGACGGCGTGGCTTCGTTCGTTACTTTTTTTGGATTCTGTGGGTTTCCTCGCTCTGCTGTTGGGTCTCCCGATGGTATTGGTGGTGGCGGTGGTATGGATGCTCCCTCATTATTTTTACCCTCGTGTGTCTCGTTTTGTGCTTTAATTTTTTCTTCTTCCTCCTCTTCCGTGTCTTCCGTCGTTTCTTCTTCCTCATTAGGATTACTGTCTTCATCTTCATCTTCCTCTAGAGATGGGGAAGGTGCTGGTGGCACTTTTACTTTAATATCTTGTGATCCAACTTTTAATTCTTGGGTGTCTTGTGGAAGCGTTCCAAGTTCCTTTGATCCCGGCGGAGGTCCGGCACCACCGGCAGGAACTGCCGGCCCCTCCTCATCACATCTACCGCCGGCACCGCACCACAGCACGCAGAGGGCACACACCAGCAGCACACGGCCAGTCATCATCATCGCCATCACTCCTGTCACTTGCGTGCAGCCTTCAGCACAAACTAACTCCCCGTCAACGCAGAGTGAAAGCAAAAAAAGAAGGAGACAAGTCACACAACAACGCGCACTGTAAACAACGGCACCAGAAGCACGCACACCAACCTGCAAAACATAAGTAAGAAAGCAATACCAAAACAAGACAAAAAGGTTTATTGCCCAATTGGAGTCGCCTCCGCCTAAAAAAAAAAAAAAAAAAAAAACCTCACCAGAATTAACATTTCATACACCATGCAGTTCAGCAGGTCTGTTTCTACATATAAATGAATGCAGTGCCTGCATGAGAAAAAAAGACTGTACTGTTCCGTGAGCCCACGCAAAACACTCTTCACATTTCATTGCGGCATCCGGCCTGTTCCTCCAATCCTCGTTTCGTGCAGTCCGTGGAATACACAGCAATGAGGCCGGCACCGCGTGTGGGCCGCAAAAAACAAAACAAGTGAGAGAAACACGTCGCTCATGACAGTGTGCAGCAACCGAACATTAAATAAATAAAGGGTGCTTATCATTCCAGGAAAACAACGACAAAAATAAATAATAACAAAAGTAAAAAGAAAACCCGCGTAGAATGCGGCACATATTCGCCGTGAGAAGTCGCAAATCCACACTCCGTGTCTCAGAAGACTGCCACAACTCCACACAGTCCCAAAAGCAGAGGCAGCAGTGGTTTCTCCACACACAAGATGATAATTTCGCTGCCTTCCACCGTCGGCAAGGAGATGTCACCTTCGAAAAAGATTCCTCTTCTCGCTTAGACCTTCTTGTTTAAAGGAGATGTGCTCTGTGTGGCGCTGCTGCACGCACTGCTGTTTGTCGGCTCCTTGGCGGCGGGGCGGGTACTCGAGGACCATGGATGCTGTCCCATTGCTGCACACATCGGTGGTATTGGGCGTCGTGAGGTCAGGAGTTTTTTTTTTTTTTTCTTCTCTTACCAGTCGTAGTAACTACGCCTCAATTGTGCAGCTCTGGTAAGCTTACGAAGGAATTCAGCAGCAAGGATAACCTTACTCCGCGGGCAGCCATTATAGAATGGCTCCAACATCTGCCCTTCCGGCCCGTAAAACTAAGTAACAACTACTCTCGGGTTTGAAGCATGAACAGCGGGCGCTTAGCTTCCTCTCTAGTAAGGAGTACTGCACCCTGGCACCACGGAGGTCAGGAGTCAAATATTCCTCCATTCCTACGGAATTATTCGTGCCATCGTAATCCGAGCAGCCTTTCGCCGCAAAATAGTCGACTATCGCATTGAAAGCCTCCTCTTCCGTTAGATCTCGACTGTCCGTTTTCTTATCAGTACGACACGCAGTCCAGCTGCTCTCGCCGACTGGGCGCCAGTACCCACGGGAATCTTTGCTTCCACACGCGCCACACAATCATCATCGTTTTTCGCGTACACGAGCAGCAGCAGCAGCAGTAGCAGTAGTAGTAGTAGTAGTAGTAGAGTTGCTGAAATCGGTGAACAGATCTGCGCACAGAGCGGAGAATAGAAAGGCAAAAAGAAATACAAAGATGTGCAGCCAAAAGACTCACACACATCGTCGCAGCGTCGCCGTTGCGTGGGCGGTAATGATGCGACCTCCCGCGGCAGGTACAACTCGCACACTGCACGCACTGCAAAACGGCATCCACACAAGAAACACACACACAACGACAGAACAGCCACCATAAAGTAGAAGGAAGAGAGAACCACAACCATCTCCCCCTACTTGCACAACAAACGGCCCTCCACTTTTTAAGCAATATAGTTTCTGTGGGCTCGCCATCGTTCCGCTGCACGCTCTCAGCGCCCACAGTGGGATCCAGCACATCGTGCAGGTAAAAAACGAAACCTGTCTCACTCCCGTCGGGAAAAAACAAAATTACCGTGACGACAACAACAACGGTGCAAGGGTGTCGCATCGGATGATACGATGGCGTTGTTGGCGTCCAGATAAATGACGCGTACCCTCGGAAATACGCGTGGAAGATATGGCACGTAAGACTGCAGAGTTGCGTCCTCAGATAAACGGTATTCGGAGCCAGCCCTCTCTTTCTCGGTGGCAAAGATGGGTCAAGAATGTCGTCGGAGAAGCACCACTGCAGACGGCAGGGTAGAGCAACGTACCGCACACAGGGCCCAAATATTCGACTGTCTCGTCCCTGGAAAAGTACAACCAACTTGGCCAGGGTTATCTCGCTCTCTGGCAATGGCACATTCAAAAAAAAAAAAAACTCACAGTATTGAGGGGACTCGAAAAGGCCCCAACGTGCGTGCTGCGGCTCCACGAGAATGTGGACGGTCTGCATGTGTCCATGCAAGTCACAGCCGATAGGCGCATTAAAGGGGATACTGCTTGAGTGCGCCAAACGACGGTTACTTGCCTCATGCCACATCACAGGCAGGCCGTCCCTCATCAATCCCTGCAGGATTCGCCTACACTCCTCCAAGGAGTACTGGGGGCATCCGTTGTGCTGCATGCGGATTGCACCATCTTCCATAACAACTCCATTCACTAAAAGGCCGCGGTTAAACAGCCTTTCCACAATAATCCTCAAAGGACCGCCACCCACCGCGTGCTGAGGTGGGAAACTAACGCGATGAATACGTCTCCGGTAGGTTTCATCGTGAATACACAACCGCTATTCCCTCCGTCACAGCGTCGTCATCAACACAGCAACAACGCGCCAGTGCCGGCTCTGTTGGGTACAATGGGAGAGAAACTCCCATTCTCCATGCCATGATGTCAACAAGAGAGTCCGACGGCTGCCCTGCCATGGCGATAACGTGTCCCATCAGGCGCAGCAGAATATCAGAGTCCAGCAGATTGGAAGGCTCGGCTGTCACCCCGCCAATGAGAGAAATGCGCGGCACCACGCGATGCTCCGCTGGCATTCCCGCCTCCGTATTGTGTTCCCTCAGTAACAAGCTCTGCGTCAGCACTCTCGCCACACTGGTAGGTCTGAATTTTTATCCTGCACGGCACGCGTTGCTGCCACCGCATTCTCCTCCCCTGTTTCCTCACCACCCATCGTCATGCGGAAGCAGCAAGTGAGGCAAACCTCGGTTTGCTCCGCCTGAAATTCCCCCGGCATCTGCTCAATTCACCGCCATAGAAAACCGGCGATGTGCAGCGGCAGAGCATTGGATCGTTTCAGCAAACAAATTGGAGAAAAAGGGCTCAAACACACCCACAAGACTCCCAACAAGAAAAGGTGCACACGGCGTGACTGACACGACTCAGAGTTATGTTTCTAAGACAATGCGTGGATGACTCTGTCGACGCCACACCCGCACCATATGCCATCAACTCCTCCACGGCAATAATCCTGCAGCGTGCGGAGAGGACGTTTCACGAGCGCATTATTGGCGGAGCCAAACAACTGTACCGTCAGCAGATGGCAGCGGGTGGCGGGGGAAAGTGAAGGTGGTGGGACTGTTGGGGAGGGTCGATGCGCAGTGTCCCCCACAAATACGAGGCGGCTGAAGTGAAACAAACTCGTCTGAACGTCACCGGCCACCAAGATGCATTGCTCCCTGCTGTAAATATTGATGAGCTCGAGGCTGGAGCAACTACTCGCAATGCGTGAAAGTGTCTTCCTGCACTGACGCTGCAATTCACATTAGACGGGCAACTTCAGAACAGTCGATCCCCAGCAGTGAAATGCAGGTGGCAGTGACGCTGTGGATTCTCGATTCCCCCGGCAACGGAGGGCGGAGAAGAAAACTGGTCTCCCCAGCTGCGCGGCATCCATCCATTCACTCTGTGCGTCCGGAGTGCCCCGCAGCTGCCTTGAGAGATGCAGCGGACAGACCTCCCTTATTTTCGCCTCGATCCGTCAAAGAAGACTTTCGCGGAGGCGTCGGCACACACCGAAGTCTCCCTCGTGCCCACCAAACAAAAGACACACCCGTTGAGCATCGTCACGTGCATCGACGGCCACGCAAATAAATATCCACCGCAACGCAAAGTGTTTCTTATTGGGCACAAAAAGAAAACTGGAGGCGGCGGCCTGGACAACACAGACATCAAATCACACGCCAGGCAACCCTGAAATACATGCGAAAGAGCCAACGCAGGACCAGCAGCACAGCCACTCGAGAGCTTCTGCGTGAACTCCACGGCAAATGGATCAGCCTCAACGCATGGGGCACTAATTACGGCGGGTGACAGCGCGAAAGCCAACGGTTCCGCAAGGCCGGGAATTGTGGAGACGGCATTCAAACCCTCCTGGGATTCGTGTGCAAAGACACGCAAATAATCCGCCCCTCGGTGCAATTCGTCACCATAATCCTCATCGCTCTCTCTGCCGTCATTCGTATTGTCACACTCAAAGCCGTTGAGGGAAGGTGCTGCCATGATGATTGTGACATCACACTGAATGAAATAACGCAATGCCTCGAAGGGCGCCGAGTGCAGGCATCCCGTCAGGAAGCGACACGCCGCAATCTTAGCAATGTACGAAGCACAGGCAACGAAACAGCTTTCATCCGCCATCGTAATCGCGTCCAGCAGGTTCGCCCTCTTGTTCCTCGGCGTTTCGTTCTCTGCAAGGCACCAGCTGCCGCTGCCGTAGACCACGCTGCTGCTGCAATCACTCCCACAGAGAGACAAGAAGAGTGTGTGGATGTGTGCCAAGAGTACAGCGACTGTCATCGTCAGAGGAGGCCATCATGGCACCGTCCGTCACGCGCCAGCACACACCGAGCAAAGCACTCAACCGGCAGTGCAAATACATTCTTGCAGAGCACTGTGCAACTACTTATGTGTGTGGGTGTCTGTTGGAGAAGCAGAAGAGGAGCACAGGGAGGCACATCAGCACAGCAAGAGGCACAGCTGGATGGCAGAGATACATGCGGTGCGGCCCAACCTCAAAAATCACGCACGGTGGCAGCACACACCCATCCACAAAAAAAAAAAGAAAACAACACGGCGGCAGGGTGTGGCTGTGTGTGTGTGTGTGGCGCTGCGGGTGTCTGCCCGCCCTGGCCGCAAAAGCAAAACAAAACAAGAGGGAAAGAAATGTGTGCTCCGCCCCACAGGCCCTCGTCGCACGCCCACACGTCACGGCTCCCTCAGCGCGCCGTTCGTCGCGGCCCCTCCTCATGCGTGCAGCAGGCGAGGCGCACAGGGCCGTCGTCATGAGCGTGTCGGTGGGTGTGCGAGTGGAGCAGTTGGGCGGGAAACACACGGCACCCCTCACAGGAAGAGTGCAAAAGAAACAATTAAAAGAGGGAAGAGTAGAAAAGAAAAAAACGTCCATAGTGATTGCCCCCAAAAGCAAAAAAGAGGGGGAGAGATTTAAAACGCACACATTAAAAGCAAAAAAAAAGACCAGCAAAAAATTTTAAAGCAAACAGAAAAAAAAAATTAAATTTACAAAACAACAAAAAGCGGAGGCGTGGGACGACCAGCGCACACACTCTCATTGCTCCCGTAAAGCAAAACACACACACAGGGAGAGAGGGAGAGGTCGCCCACTCAAGGCAATAAAAACAAAAACAAAAACAGTTACGGTGCTCCGCCCATGCAGCCAGGCAGGACGGCAGCGGTGCGTGTGGTGCAAAAGAGAGCACCAACAGGCATGCATGGATGTGCATGCATATATACAATGGGCACATTATGTGTGTGCTTCGTGGGGTGAGGTGAGGGCGAGAGTCCATGCAAGGGGACACACACACAGAGAGTGAGAAGGACGAGTGTGTGTGCGGGCGGTGCACGGCTCTCTCTCACTCACTCTCACGCGGCCACCAGCGCAGCCGCAGCCGCACACGCAACAACAAGAAGAAGAAGCAAAAGAGGGGAGGTGGTGTGGGAGACCGCGGTGCTGCCGTCACTGTCGTCAGGCGTCGCCGTATCATTTGTTTGAGCAGCGGTGATTGTTTCTGCTGTTTGTGGTGCTGCCTCACTGAGTGTTGGAACAACGTTGGTGTTGCCAGTTTCAAGACTGTCGTGTTGTTCTTCAGAGCTTTGAGCATCATCCTTATCTGCCTTATTGTGGACATGATCACCGCTGCCACTTGTAGAGGTAGATGAGGTTGTTGGTTCTGCTGGACTGCCGGTTGTTGCATTCTTCGTCGGATCCTCTGTGTCTGTGTCATGACTGTGCTGCCCTTGTGTAGTATCCCCTGAAGGCTGTTCCGGTGCTTCTGATTCCATTTTGGTTAGTTTCAGTAAGTTTTCTTTTTCTGCTGCTGGGCCTCCTTCACCTGCTGTTGATGATGGTGCAGGTACACCCGATGGTTGTGCGGGTAATGATTGTGGTACCTCCGCATTATTTCCCCTCTCTTGTGTCTCGGGTTGTAATTCGTTTTTTTCTTTTTCTCTTCCCGTTTCTTCTTCGTCTCTCTTTTTATCATCGCCAGATTTATTGCGAGGGTCAGCAACCCCTTTCGTCAGCGCTTCCGGGGCAATGTAA